AATAAACCCCTCCCCCTACCCACACCCTTTTACTTTGCTCTACTCTACCATGACTAATTGCCCCTGGACCCTGATCAGGAAGCTATCGCCCTAAGCCCACACCCTCCTTGATCCACGCCTGTTTAGGTACAAACGTACATGTACAAACGGAGAAATACATATTGTAGATATATTGAAGTTTGACTCAGTCCCTAAGTTATCTGACATCAGACCCCTATACCCTCTGTAGTACACACCCCTCAGGGTGTGCCAGACAGTCATAGTTTCTCCTGTACCAGGATTCAGACAGGTACGATTTACCTGTAGAAAAGTCAGTATAGATACCTACATTTTTATGATCGATAAAGAAAACCTATATTTTTATTAATACTAGAGGTACATATCATGAATGTAAAAATTACATATATTTAGTACATATTAATTTTCTTATTCATAATAGTTTCCTACATGCACGAGCTTGCCTTTCAAACTGAAAAAAATATATATAATAAACTCCCGTAACAATATACAAGTACAATGTATACTTAAACAAGAATCAACTACATTTTCATAATAAAATAAAAGATGTTTAACAAAAAAACTGTTTATCTGTGAATGAAATTTAGTTAATAGACATGATATAACATGTATACATTTCAAATCTCTGATGCATGTATTTGCATGTACTAATAATTAAAGTAAGCACATTATCGGTCTCCAAATCCTACGGAAAATCTAAAAGTGTATTGAAGTATTAAAGATGATATAAAAAATAGAAATAGAGGTACTGGATCCTTAACACAGGAGTCTGAAATTATATCATTTTTAATTATTATTAGGCTTATTAATTATTACGTTTCTCGTATAAAAAAAACCGGAACAAGTTTACTTACTGTCAATATTAATTAGTATTTTATTCGGTAAGCAGGTAGAAATACGTCTGACCATAACTTATTATTATCTGTGTGTCGCGTTGATCTGTTAGCGTACGTCAGGTCTTTGTGATGGATATATTATATGCTCGTAGCCTACAGTGTACTGACGTTTCTTCCTATGCATTGTGGGTATGTTCGTTTCGTTTTAGATATTTTATATGCTTCCGCTTTTTATGTAAACCCGTTCTTGTCACCACAAACGAATCACCGTTTGTAAGCGTCATCCGTAGCACTTCCGTACCGTTTGCGTAACACTTCCGTACCGTTTGCGTAGCACTTGCGTACCAATTCCGTGCCGTTTGCGTAGCACTTGCGTACCATTTGCGTAGCATTTCCGTACCGTTTGCGTAGCACTTCCGTACCGTTTGCGTCCAAGGTGGAACAGCGAACGTGTACGGGTCTGTAGCTTAATAAATATCTGGAGGTACTTATCCACACATAGCTTCATAGATATCTGGAGGTGCTTACCCACACATAGCTTCATAGATATCTGGAGGTACATACCCACACATATCTTTATCATTTGAGGTACCTACCCACACATATCTTAATAAATATCTGGAGGTACTTATCCACACATAGCCTAATATATACATGAAGGTACTTACCCACACATAGCTTCATAGATATCTGGAGGTACGTACCCACAGATAGCTTAATAGATATCTGGAGGTACTCACCACACATAGCTTCATCATTGGAGGTACTTACCCACACATAGCTTCATAGATATCTGGAGGTACTTACCCACACATAACTTAATAGATATCTGGAGTTACTAACCCACACATAGCTTACTAGATATCTGGAGGTACTTACCCACATTTAGTTTTATAGATATATGGAGATACTTACCCACAATTAGTTTTATAGATATCTAGAGGTACTTACCCACAATTAGTTTTATAGATATATGGAGGTACGTCCCCACACATAGCTTTATAGATATCTGGAGATACTTACCCACAATTAGTTTTATAGATATATGGAGGTACTTATCCACACTTAGTTTTATAGATATCGGGAGGTACTTACCCACAATTAGTTTTATAGATACCTGGAGGTACTTATCCACAATCAGTTTTATAGATATCTGGAGGTACTTACCCACAATTTGTTTTATAGATATCTGGAGGTACTTGCCCACCCATAGTTTTATAGATATATGGAGGTACTTACCCACACATAGCTTTATCACTAGATGTACTTACCCACACATAGCTTTATCACTGGAGGTACGTACTCACACATAGCTTTATCACTTGGGTTACTTACCCACACATAGCTTTATCACTAGATGTACAGTCAGCGAAAGTTGTAGCACACGTCATCTTGTCCATCCGCTCGTACACTGGGCAAAATTATCACGTGACAAAATAATGCGAAAGACAAAGCTGTATTAAAGACTAAGGTCAGCATCGAAATAAGATTAAGCAGTTCCAAAAAATGTAGTGGTCAATTTTTTAGGTTCAGATACATTTTCTCTACTAATGTATTGTCCCACACATAGTTTGTATCTCAAAAGCAGAAAGGTAAACAAAACAAAGTACATATCTATAGTTAGGTGTGTCAGGATGATACATATCATAGGCTAACAAGTATAATGTGATTATCTATGAAACTAACCAGTACTCTTCAATTTCTAAGTGAAAACGATGTTCTTACCCAGACATCACTATCGTCACCACTGACCAAGCTGGCGGAAACATCGTTTTTACATAGCAATGACTCGATGAAACTTTATACCTATCATTCCTGCTTAATGAACCTTTCAGTGAAAAATTTCAATAGTACTATTGCATTGATAAGCTTGCTAAGTCATATTCTGTTATTCATAGAATTAAGAGTTTTAAAGCACCTTCCGTTCTGTTTTAAGAGAAGTTAAGAAAAAATGGATTTCAAACAGTTTGATCTCTAGCATTGCCTATGAGTCCTATAGGGACGAAACACCTGTGTTTTGCAGTTTAATTCATTTCTGGCATACTGTGTTTATTATCATTTTTTTAAAGGTTCAATAACACGTGTTTATGTAAGTTAAGTATATAGAATTAATTTAAATCGGTAAAATTTAAAAGTCAGAATTTACCAGCACTACAAAATGCACAAAAAATACGATCGAAGTGACTTAATTTACTTTTAAAGTTAGTATGGAAATGACATATGTATACAGATAACTATTGAGACAACCCCAGTTACTTACCATAAAAATGAGTGGAGATTGTTCCCTTACTGGTAATGGCATCACAGCGGTATTCCCCGCTGTTTGACGCAGACCGGAAGTAGAAAACTATATTTCCGGTTGGAAGGATGTTGTGGGTGGGGAGCAGTCCGTTGACCTTTGAGTAGATAAGGGTCACGTTATTGGCGTGTGTCACCTGACAAACGTTGTTAACAGACTCGCCAACTGCCACGCCAATGACCTTCTGATTCGCGGTGATGTGTGGGGTTTCATCTAGAGGCGATAATCGTCATAATAATAAAAATAATAGTGGAATATCTATAATATCATACATATCACATAATGTATCCAGCTCTTTAAACCCTAGTTTACTTAACGAGTCGTCCACGCAAATTTTATAAAACAAATTTTGAAACATACAATACAACTATATCTGTGTATTACAGGATCGTATCGAATCCATCTCTACACATCTTTGGTAAGGAGTAACAATCGTTTTGAAAGCGCAAAAGAATACATTCTGGCGTGGAATTGTAACGAAATTCAGGTATTTAAAAAACGACTTCTGCTAGCTGGCAAGGGTGTGCATAACGACTTTCTGAAGACAGGAAATGTGTGTTCAACAGAGTGTTGAATAGGAAAACGATCTCTATATCTGTACATATTACCTTTTATTGGCAAACAAAGCAAGACGAGAGATAATTATCTTTCAATATATGTTCATCACAAGCGCTAACTGGATTACAACAAATAGCAAGGAGAATAATAACGGAAGTTACTCTTCAAATAAATAAGCGATGTTATGTTATTACCTTCTACAGTGACGATGACTGTTTTCTCCACGGAACCCAGAGCATTCTCGGCGTGACACTTGTATTTGCCGCTGTCCTGTGCCTTTACGTCACGCAAAATCAACCCCGATGACGTTGGGGTGCCTTGTGATGTCATCAACGTTCCATTACCTCCGTCCTTGACCCAACTCACAGTGGGAGTTGGGTAACCGCCATTGGTCCGACAGGGCAGAAGTATTGTCGCCCCGACCCTGGCACGTACGACGAAAGTGTTCCCTCCCTGGAAGTGAGGTGTTGCTGTTGGGTGTGCAGATAAACCAAATACTTGATTTGTTACAGGAGAATACAAATGACAGGTTAATTTCAAAGAAATGAAGTTGTTGTTTTTTGAGAAAATTTCTTTAAAAAATATTAATTTTTGTGGTGCAAAATGACTATTTAATGAATATTCAACATATCTACATCATCTGACCTCATTACATGTAATTTCATTTGCAAATCATGCGACCGCTTGTATCATACGCACACCGAGTCCTGGACAGTTACTCGTTTAACTCACAAAGCATGTTACAACAATTGCTGGAGAGTCCAGTGGAACCCTTCTCGCCCTGAGCCCCTGTGGCTCCCTTAGGACCCACAGCCCCGTCATTCCCGGACAGACCGGGCGATCCTGTGTCACCTTTGTGTCCCATGTCACCCTGTTAGCCAGAAATGATATGCACAGGTTTATATAAGTGAACCGAATATAAGTCTTAAACCTGACTAAACAAAACCTTCTACTTCTTCCTTTTGTGTCAGTTCTACATTCGGTATTCACATATATGACTACGGGGAGATTATGTTAGGTTAGACAAACAGGTTACTCACATCAACAAATCAGAAATGATGTTTTACTTCTATTTGCATTAAATTCCCTATGTCTTGTGTTAACAACTGGTCGCTGAAGATATAAGGTGACATAGAAACCATTTTAGATATATTATATGAACGCTGCACCCACTTAAACAAGTTTTCTGATAGTGATTATCAGATCACTTAATATTTAACAAAATAAAAAGAAAGGAATTTATGTAAGCCTCTGCTGTTTTTACCTTTGGTCCTGTCGGACCTTGTAAACCAGGAGCTCCAGCAGGCCCCTGCTCACCCTTTAAACCTCTCGGACCAAACGGACCATCACTTCCGGTATCGCCTTTCATCCCCTGAGATCCCATATCACCCTTTGGTCCGTTAACACCTTGGATACCTATATAGAAATTAAGACCAGAGTGTTTACCATGTATCGTAAAAATACATAGTTATAAGTTATGATATTTTGGTGCTATTTCGCGTTGAAATTGTTTACTTAATAACCCCGACCTTTCAGTCTAGACAATCGCTTCCCTTTCAACAGAGTGTCAGCCTGAAACCTTAAACACTCCTACATACCTACTCCCTCGGTAGGTTCCCTTAATTCCTCAAGGAAATGTCATAGCCAATCAAATTGGAGGTATGCAGAATTTGTGCTGATATGATCCATACCTGTTGCTATCAATCATAGCCAATTTCCTATCATTATTCTTTCATTCATAAATATTGGCTATCTATGGAACGAATTTGATATAGACTTGCACGTTATTCAATCAAAGCGACTGTTAAATCTTTCTCAATACCAATGAATGAAAAGTAAGCTAAAAATAATTGAATGCGGATATCAGAATTTGGAATTTGTCTTGTGCCAATACATTACAGCAAGCAATCGTTTTTCTCCTGGACATTCATTGTGTGTGGTACCGTTCAACAGTTCAGACTGTACCTTGAGTTGATTACAAGGCTAACAACATTTATAGGTAAAGATGTAATATACATGGGCCCGTATTTATAAACCGTTCTCGTGATCAAAATCAGACTTCGTGATCCAGCTCTGTTTCTAGTTCTTGTGACAAAGTAATACAAATTCACAATTTGTCAAGGATTTGAAAGATATTTGGAAAGATTAATTACCAAATACCACTGACTAAATCACCGATACACATTGTTGACGATGATACTTTCTCTTTTGTCTCAGTAATTGTTGCATGTGCATTTGGATGGCATTTACCCTGAGGTCCAGGCGTTCCTTGATCTCCCTTCATACCAGCTGGTCCAGCTGGTCCGAAAGGTCCACTCTCCCCTTTATCACCTCTCACGCCTGTCACCCCACTGGGTCCGGCGGGACCCATATCGCCTTTGGTTCCCGCAGGACCGGTCAGTCCTGTTGCACCCGTTTCACCCTGGGCAGTGATAAATCATAGACAGGGATTTTAGTAACAATGAACTTCCATACAGTGCATGCCTAATGGAACTTTGGCTTTCCTACCGTTATGGTATTATGTTAATTGTAAGATAAGTAGATCTGACATCATTATAACAAAATGTAACTAGAAACATGTCGTGAAGCGAGAAGTGTAATTGGCCGGCAAGTAAATGTGTTTTATGGCAATATATATTGAAATACCAATATCTACTGAAGAGCACATTGTTCCCTCACCGTAACCTGCAATTGTACCTTCAATCCTTGAATGCCAGGTTCTCCTTTAAGTCCATTTACACCTGCTGGCCCGGCCGACCCTTGTTGACCATTGATTCCCATTGGACCCTGTAAACCATGTTCACCTTTCTCACCCAAATCACCTTTAGGACCCATGGGACCCGTGTCGCCCTTGGCTCCATCAAAACCACTGTAAACAGATCAGATGTCCAGAATCGCTGTGTTCGGTAACATACCCAATATGAAAAATGAAGAATGCATTGTGTTTATTGCATTCGTTGATGAGCGTTGTGACTTTTTTGAAGGTTTGGTTAACGTTCATTTGATTAAACGTCTTATTAACAGCCTAGGTCAGTAAAGGAAGTGTCTCAATTTCTGTAATTTATACATTCATGCTGAAAACGTTATGTAGGTTTATTCGTCTCTGATATCTCTGATGCCGACAGTGCTCAATTCTTGAAACATTTCCTTTCGGTCACACATACAGTCAAAATGTAGATATTTACTATAGTGAGTCTGTACTTGGTATACCAGTTGAATCAAATGATCAGGAATATTAGATAGTTGATAAAAAGAAATGCAGATTATGTGTTTTAAAACTTATGTAGTTTACGTAGTAGTATGTATGTAGTTTATGTAGGGGCACGTTGGGCGATTTCCGGTAAAAAGAAACTAGACCACGATTTCTTGCTATTTTTTAAAAAGTTTTGGATGTTTGAGTATTTGTTTTTAGGCAAAACTTACTTTGTACCAGGATCGCCTTTAACTCCTGCGGGACCAAATGGTCCTACAGGTCCGATGTCTCCTTTCGTTCCCAGAGGACCAGTGGTTCCTGGTGGTCCCTGTAGGCCTTGTGGGCCTGTTACGCCGATATCCCCTGTATCATATATAAGATATAAAGTCTTAACAAAATGTCAAAACAATTACTACAACATTAACGCAAGAAAAAACTCCAGGAACTGAAGACGGGAAAACAAAATAAGAGTTATCATAATCCTACACAAGATAAGTGAAGGCAAGACGGAACCAGAGAGTACGATATGTTTATGTTCCTGGATCACAAAGGGCACCTGTCAGGATGTTTCCTAAAGGAGACTAAACTAAGTGTTTAATATATTAGTAAAGCTATAAGTCGTCATACCAGTCTTTAGTTACAGTTTCAGCTCTGTCAGTTGGATGAGAAGGAATTGTAACATGGTGTGTATTGATGATAAAGAAAAAACATCACAGGGTCGAACAATAAATAAGCGTCCCCTACACAATAACACTATGCAAAAATACTATTTATACCCAGAATCTCCTAACGTGTTCCGCTTTTATTTTTATTCAATCCGCTACAATAGGTTTCATAAAAATCAAATGCAGTTGGAACGAGTATTAATTATATACGCCACCATAGTATTTTTAATTCCGTTACACATGCTTTTATTTTTATTCAATCCACTACAATGAGTTTCATAAAAATCAGATGCAGTTGGAATTTACCAATAAATAACTAATATTAATTATATACGCCACCATAGTACTTTTAATTACATGACTGGAAAGATCAATTGTTCCCTTTGGTGTCACGGTAATACTACCGACGCAATATATTCAAAATATGTGTGATAAAGTAGTACAATTTCGTCGCAACTCAGAATGAATGTGTGAAAGAATATTTCTGTATAATGACAAAAATTTATAATTTCAATTTGTAACAGATTTTATGTAGATATTTAGTATTTGTAAAGTGTTTATTTTCAAGGTGATCACGCACATGAGTTTTTGCAATATAAAATCATTACTTGAATTATTTTTCCTATTGAACCTTCGCGTTATTGAAGTAATATGTCGCGGAACCCATTGCTCTTGACCTTGTTTCACGTACCCTTTACTCCTGCCGGACCTTGGGTTCCATTAACGCCACTATCGCCCTGTAGTCCCTGTAGTCCCTGTAATCCCTGTAAGCCTGATACCCCTTGGTCCCCCTTGGTACCTGGAAGTCCAGTTGGACCCATCATGCCGACCTCTCCCTTGTTACCTTGTGGGCCAACGTCCCCTTTGTATCCACTCAAGCCTTGTAGGCCGTCATAACCTTGTTCACCTTTGACCCCGGGTTCACCTTTCGTACCTTGTAATTAAAAAAACCCATATTACTACTATGAACCATTGAACTATCATTGTAAACCGTTATTACAGATACCATTCACTTCTTGTGAATTCATGTTCATGTCTGAATGTAATAATATGTGAAATAAAGATTAATTTTACACAATAGGTTTTTGATATGTTTGGCTGGTAAGTTAATAATGACAATAATTAATATGGACTGTCATCAAATTCGATTCAAATTTAGCAAAGTACATTCCATGTAAATGTTGAGCCTACCTGTCGCATTGGCCACACCTGTCAACCCGTTTTCTCCCTTCTGTCCCGTATCGCCCTTGGTGCCTATATCTCCTTTCTGTCCCATCACTCCTGCATCACCTACCAGTGAAAACGATGGCTGTTAAAAACGGTATAGCGACCCAACACCTTGTCGGGAAAAATCAGGCAATATAGCGAAAAAGAATAAAGATTTCTAAAAGCATGTTTTTTCAGATGAAATGATCTTAAAGTTTCTTGTTGAATGGAGCTTCACCATAGCATTTAACTTATGATAAGATCGGAGAAGTCTCAATATCACGCGCACAATATATTAAACTTAAAGTATGGTCAGCAAACATTTTTGGCTTTCCGTGTCATTTTAATAAACATTTGCTTCTCCTTATTTCATGTATCCAGTGTTTACTGAGAGAAAAAACACATCTTGATCCTGACACACTGTCGGTCATTAGATCTAAAAGGTTGACCAGCATCTCAGCCGAACTATTTTGGTATGCAAGGTTTCGAGTCGATATGGGTGAGACCTCTTAAAATAATACTATATAATTTTTTACTGGAATTATCTTCGATGAAATCATATCGCTGGTTACATTATGTGTATACTCGCAAAATAGAGAACATGTTGAGAAACCGTCAAAAGTAACGCTGTTTTACAGCACTCACCCTTCAAGCCCTGCTGTCCTGGATCTCCCTTTGGACCAGGAACTGTTACAAAACAGGAAAACCACTCACAAAATGATGGCAATAGTATTACCAAATTAATACAGTTGTTCTCTCTTCTTTCATAATTATATTCTATTTGTATTTAGGTTATCTCCCTTCATTGTTTAAACTTACGCGTTTTAATAATCCATATATACCCGATTGTTCTTAATGCATACACAAATATATACCTTGCAAATATGTCATTAATCAACGAAAATGTACTGTATTCATGAAACGCATTTTATAGTTGTTTTAGCGTGGAATTCTCTTCGAATGAAGATCTTCATATACACATTTTAAGTTTACCTTCAATTACCGAGCGTTACCAATAATACTTTGTCACGTACCTGCTATACACAGGGACTGATTGCTCACACATCTTTGCTGGAACAAAGTATCCTATTGAAGAAAAGAAGGAAGACTCCTACTGCATTGCTCTACTAATTCTTTACACGTCTTTGCTTAAAGAGAATTTCACAGGGAAAAGGGATTGTTCAAACAACTTAACTGGAAAAGAGTTTCCAAGTGAATTAAGAAGGGATAAACTACAACAACAACAAAACGGGAGATAATACCAAGTGATAAGAAAATCGTGATTCGAATTTCAAATCCAGAAAACAATGGCAAAATATGAACAAAGCAAGTGTCTATGGCTTCATTGACTACTATTTAGATATAGGTCACCTAAAAGTAATGAAGCTTTATATAGGAACAACTAAAGCGTTTAAAATGAAAAGAGCAACTGACCGGAAACGTAATTCTTGTTGACGGGAAAGTACATTGTACATAGTAAAATAGCGGAAACGACAGTGGGGAGAAACCTACAGTATAAGAAAACAGAGAAGCGAGAACAGTTTGGTTTAGAGTAAATATGCCTACCAAGTATGGTGACGGGAGGAGACGACAGTCTGGTTGAAGAGTAAATACCTATTACGTACGGTAACAGGGATGAGACGACAGTCTAGTTGAGGGGGTATTAACAACGTGCGGTAACAGGATGAGACGACAGTCTGGTTGAGGGGGATACTAACCACGTACTGTAACAGGGATGAGACTACAGCCTGGTTGAGGGGGATACTTACCACGTACGGTAACAGGATTTAGACGATAGTCTGGTTGGTGGGGATACTTTTAAACACGTACTGTAAGAGGGATGAGACGATAGTCTGGTTGAGGGGGATACTTACCACGTACTGAAACAGGGATGAGACGACAGTCTGGTTGAGGGGGATACTTACCACGTACTGTAACAGGGATGAGACTACAGCCTGGTTGAAGAGTAAATACCTACCACGTACGGTAACAGGGAGGAGACGACAGTCTGGTTGAGGGGGATACTTACAGGGATGAGACGATAGTCTGGTTGAGGGGGATACTTACCACGTACGGTAACAGGGATGAGACTACAGTCTGGTTGAGGGGGATACTTACCACGTACTGTAACAGGGATGAGACGATAGTCTGGTTTAGGGGGATACTTACCAGGTACGGTAACAGGGATGAGACGACAGTCTGGTTGAGGGGGGTACTTACCACGTACGGTAACAGGGATAAAACGACAGTCTGGTTGAGGGGGAAAACTTACCACGTACTGTAACAGGTATGAGACTACAGCCTGGTTGAAGAGTAAATACCTACCACGTACGGTAACAGGGAGGAGACGATAGTCTTGTTGAGGGGGCTACTTACCACGTACTGTAACAGGGATGAGACTACAGCCTGGTTGAAGAGTAAATACCTACTACGTACGGTAACAGGGAGGAGACGATAGCCTGGTTGAGGGAAATACTTACCACGTACTGTAACAGGGATGAGACGACAGTCTGGTTGAGGGAGATACTTACCACGTACGGTAACAGGGATGAGACGATAGTCTGGTTAAGGGGGCTACTTACCACGTACGGTAACAGGGATGAGACGATAGTCTGATTGAGGGGGATACTTACCACGTACGGTAACAGGGATGAGACGACAGTCTGGTTGAGGGGAATACTTACCACGTATGGTAACAGGGATGAGACGACAGTCTGGTTGAGACTAACGCCGGGCGGAGCTTGTCGTTTATGTCTTTCCTGACCCTCTGACTCGTCTCCCTGAAAGTAAAATCACGTTTTTATTTCAAAGAAGGCGTAAAGTGGAGACCAAGACGAAGATGAAAAATGTATTGTTAATTTAAATATGTTTAAAATGTCGTTTATTTAAAAAGACAAAAACATATGTGTGTGATATTTTATCATTTTGTGTGATATTTTATCAAACTAAGAATCGTTCCAAGTCATTCGTCAGTTTGTCATGCGCAACTCTTTAGAAACTTAACAAGCTGTTGTTAATAAGAAGAACAACAACACATAATATGGCATATGTCATGTCATATATAAGCGGTTGCAAAGTAAAAGCGTGCATCCATATCTTTTATAGTGATATTGGCTTATTTCAGTAGTTTAAAATTTGTGTCGGCATAAGAGCCATTATTGCATATAAATTGTTTGACGACATCAGACATACCTGCTCAACAATGATATCACATGGACATTGTTGCCGCAGTAGACTGAGCTGGTCTTTGATGTTGATGATCTGCACCATCTGATAGGTCACCATGGAGACAAGACCCAGGCTGATAAGGAAGAGGAAGATGATCGGAACATTGCAGGCCCCATCCTTCCGTTCCTGTTTGGCTTTCATGGTGTTAGATCTTAAGACTGACCGACTGTCCTGAAACGTAACTGGACATGACCTATCGGGACAGTCGCCGCCTTATCTTCAATAGTGTTGATGGCTATATAACTTATTGCGTAACATATCTTTATCTCAATATCAGAACTAGAAGAAAAATGGAGAACAAATAAAAGTCAGAGTATAAATTGCTTTTAATACCGACTTTACCATAAATGGGTACGTATCTACGGAATAGGAGTATTGAGTTGTGTCCTATAATGTTATTTTGATGAAAAGACAATAACTTCTTTCGACCTATTAGATATTTATTGCACTTTCAAGCCGGAACAATAAGTTTCGTCCATCTTTATGTAAATTTAAGTTTTTTTTGGCAATTCATGAAAGAGACGCAAGTCTCTTGCAGAGTTAAGATATTTAACTTTTTTTCTGGATTATAATTTTGATACATTTTTACTCACTTCCGAGGGGTATTTAATAAACAATCGTCTCATGCACCAGTAATGAAGCTGGTTCCCAACCAAAGAGGCTTTAATATATGCAAAAGAAGTATAACTACTATTGTCGTTCTCTCCGCCTTCTGGATTACAGTCGTGAATCAGCCCCGATCGAGGATTTGTTCACTTTATTTGTGACCAACATAAGTTCTTGGATTCGACGGAAAACAGCATGATGAACACAAACTGTAGTAAGGAAATGCTCTATCGGAACACCTGGCCTTGATTTTAGTTTTTCTAGATGTTTTGTACGTCTTTCTTTTGGTAATTGTCCGTCTGATTTCTTTGTTTTCATTCCTACATAAAGATGTATTTTTTATTTCACCTTTGTATATTGCCACTATTGTTCAATGTATATTTGTTTTTCTATTTTTATTGATTAAACTTAAATGTGGTTTCGACCCTGTTAAAACATTATATTTATAGTTGTAAAATAGTATATTTTATATTCCAATTTTCGAACATTTTGTGAATTTTAGAACGGGTTGGTAAGCCCATTTTTCCTTCAATTATCATCGTTGAATATTAATTGATTAATTATAATGTCTTATGACGTCAACATTTGATATGCCCTACATTAAGTAATCACATATATGTGTCAACATTTAGGCACGATATGCCCTACATTAAGTGATCACATATATGTGTCAACATTTAGGCACGATATGCCCTACATTAAGTGATCACATATATGTGTCAACATTTAGGCACGATATGCCCTACATTAAGTGATCACATATATGTGTCAACATTTAGGCACGATATGCCCTACATTAAGTGATCACATATATGTGTCAACATTTAGGCACGATATGCCCTACATTAAGTGATCACATATATGTGTCAACATTTAGGCACGATATGCCCTACATTAAGTGATCACATATATGTGTCAACATTTAGGCACGATATGCCCTACATTAAGTGATCACATATATGTCATTAGACTGTATGATTAAGGACTTTGTATCATACAAGTGATTTTGTTTTTAAAGATTTAACTATTAGTCTTTTAGTGGTCATTTGGCGGTCTTATTGTGGACGTTTCGTTTCGTTTGTTTGTTTTTAAGTCCTATCTACAGCTATAGCCATTCAAGGACTTTTCACATTTTTCTTCATGCAGTTCAAAGTAGTAAACATGTAGCTTCACGAGTTCCGTAAGTCGGTCAGTCACACTCTTAACATTATCATCACGTTCTACACTACAAAAACACACAGTGACACTGTCATGACTTATACAGGTGTAGTAGTCTGATTCTAGGGGTCTTTTTGTACAGATCACCCTAACTTTGTTTCCATTCTGATTTATTCCATATATATTAAACCCTCTTCATAGACGAAGATGGTCTTACTCCAGGGAGACAACCCGTACGTGAGTACGTGACCAAGTAGCTAATCTTGCGCATACAATTAATTTAGAATTCCATGCTCACTAATAAGCACTAAGTCTGCACAATTACATAACACGTCCGATACGGCCATAAACTTGTGCAGGAGTGACAATGCCCCCAAAAGCGCGGGTGCGCACTGACCCGTTGTCAATCTTACACAAAAATAGATTGACCCATGAACCTTGACAAACAGGTTTGCACAGGTGTCATATGATACAAAGCAAAGTGTACATGTATATAGATATACCGTATAGTAAAAGCACAGCACTTAATACTCAGCTCTTAATGAAGAATCAAGTTTAAAAATAACCAGCTTTACTAGTAAAAGATGTCACTGTCATGAAATATTGACACTGCTACATAGGACTCCATGAAACCCTGTCCCGGCTGGTCACTTACTAATCTACGATAACACAGAGTGACACAGTCACAGCTTACCCTGGACTAATATAGTGGAATCTGTTCACGCATGTCACAAAGGGTGATAATCACACTGTCAAGGTTTATCTGGACTAATATAGACTGTTCACGCTGGTCACACAGGGTGACACTCACACTGTCACACTGTCAAGGTTTATCTGGACTAATATAGACTGTTCACGCTTGTCACACAGGGTGACACTCACACTGTCAAGTCTTATCTTGACTAATACAGTCTTCACGCTTGTCACACAGGGTGACACTCACACTGTCGAGGCTTATCTGGACTAATATAGACTGTTCACGCTGGTCACACAGGCTTACACTCACACTGTCACACTGTCAAGGTTTATCTGGACTAATATAGCCTGTTCACGCTGGTCACACAGGGTGACACTCACTCTGTCACACTGTCAAGGTTTATCTGGACTAATATAGCCTGTTCACGCTGGTCACACAGGGTGACACTCACACTGGCAAGGTTTATCTGGACTAAAATAGACTGTTCACGCTTGTCACACAGGGTGACACTCACACTGTCAAGTCTTATCTTGACTAATACAGACTTCACGCTTGTCACACAGGGTGACACTCACACTGTCAAGTCTTATCTTGACTAATACAGACTTCACGCTTGTCACACAGGGTGACACTCACACTGTCAATGCTTATCTTGACTAATACAGACTGTTCACTCTTGTCACACAGGGTGACACTCACACTGTCAAGTCTTATCTTGACTAATACAGTCTTCACGCTTGTCACACAGGGTGACACTCACACTGTCAAGGCTTATCTGGACTAATACAGACTGTTCACGCTTGTCACACAGGGTGACACTCACACTGTCAAGTCTTATCTTGACTAATACAGACTTCACGCTTGTCACACAGGGTGACACTCACACTGTCAAGTCTTATCTTGACTAATACAGTCTTCACGCTGGTCACACAGGGTGACACTCACTCTGTCACACTGTCAAGGTTTATCTGGACTAATATAGACTGTTCAAGCTGGTCACACAGGGTGACACTCACACTGTCAAGTCTTATCTTGACTAATACAGACTTCACGCTTGTCACACAGGGTGACACTCACACTGTCGAGGCTTATCTGGACTAATATAGACTGTTCACGCTGGTCACACAGGATGACACTCACACTGTCAAGGCTTATCTGGACTAATATAAACTGTTCACTATGGTTATGTTATAAATAGATCATATCAGGTTAACAGGAATTGACCTTGCCACTGCTATACACTGGTTTTTGATGTAAGAATCATCCATGTGAGTCTGGGCGATAGTCTGTCTGGATAGATAGGTCATGACCCTAATCTGTGAAGCTGTGACTGTGTCTCTACCGTTTACTGATACAAGAGCTGGATCTAATAATAATTTTGGTGACAGAATAAAGAATTTGCAGATATCTACTTCCATCAGATACGATCGTATCTTGAGGACACATTTATCAAACAGTACGAGGTGCATTTTACATAAGTACACATAACAAATACTAAAAAGCGGTGTTCATTTTTGAAAAAACAGCAATGTTAAGAGGCATCAGCGTTTTGATTATATTTATACCCTGAAAATTTATTGTGATAGTAACAAATAAGAATAATATATTAACAAGTCATTCTTTAAACATCTCATTTTTTGTATCTTTTTTTATTTTACTAATGTAACTGTCTAATAATTAAATACATGTTGTTAACAATTTGTTAAGTTTTTGTACTGTTTTAAGTGTTTAAGACCCTTTGAACTGTGAATTAATATGTGTCTCGACAAACATTACTCACTGTTTACAATTTTTTATCGTTTGCTACAAATATACTAGAAATAACTTCAAATACATTTGGCATGAATATATTGATTAATTTAATGTCATCAATGATGACCAAATACCGATGCTGTAAAATAGCAAGGTGAAAGCCAAATACACATCAAAACAGTGGTCATGTATGCCTGGACGGTTATTTTGGACGAATAAACAACGATATTGGCAACAAGTAATACACTTTCCCCTTATCATTTGTCACTACAATCCCGGTCATCCAGTACGCTGACCACACACAGCATGACGTAAACTGCCTATTTATAGACTTTAAAGTATAGGTGAGTTAACTTCTATTTTAAGAAATACCAATGGACAAATGTTCAACTGACCTTGACACTTCATTATTACATGGCAACAAACACAATGAAATGTATTGTATCTATTAGATAGCACGTACTTCATTGTCATAAATTATACGTTTACAGTCAATCATTGTACAATAAAACCTCGAATGACTTTCACAATTTACTGATATTAGACATTCTTTGTTTCCAATGTAACACAGGGAACTTTAGCATAATATATAAACAATACATAATAATAATAATAATAATATACAACATTTATATAGCGCCCTATATAATTTGAAAAATTACACTAAAGCGCTTTACAACATATGGATAATAGTAATGGTTATAATTGTGAAAACAAAAAACAAAGGCTTACAATCACTTTTATACATTTAAGCAAGCAATGTGCAAATAATTGAACAAATAAAAGGGTGGCATTTACATGACGTCTTTGCGGAGATTCTAAAATACAGACGTGAAGAGGTGAGTTTTGATGTCCTTCTTGAACTTGGCCACAACGTCGCCGCAACCCTCCCAGAGCATCTGTTTCCGTAGGTCACAGTACGAGATTTTGGGACACACAACAAAGATTCTGTCTCCGACCGCAGTGATCGTGACGGCTGACATTAATATATGTGTACAGTGTATTAGTTGAAACTTAAACATATATATCAACTTAATTTTGAACCAATTGACACAAATGCAAGCTCATCCAAAATCAAAATAATATTTTAATGATCAAACTTTCGAGACAATGCATATCTAGTTTAAGTCTAACTACAAAAACGAATCCTCACTCCGATCATATAACAGGTCCGTGTCAACAAATGAAAGCACTGAGGCTGTTGTAGTTACTACCAACTGTAGCTGGGCTTATTTCCATGCAATCAACAAAAAATCGAACTTTTCTCGGTGCTCATGGAGGGCTAGGTCGGATTTGTTGATTTATTCATGCGCATTCATTCAATTTTGTTCCTGGTTAATAATCAAAGCAATGTTAAATCTCACTTTCAGCTCAGATTTCTATTGATAGCTTAATACACCCTACATACATATCATACGAAATTTAATTGATAATACGTTGTGGAATAAAATTAAAAAGTTTATTAAATTTTCACAGAACTTCTTGGTTTGCCAATCAGCACTCGACAACACGCTGTTTCAGCTATTGAACATATTTGTGTGGACTGTCGATAAGGCGGGAATTTTAAAATTCAAATATAACTTATAAGTTTAAACAAACACAAAAGGCAAAGGTAACCTAATACAAGAATTTCATTGTTTTTGTATTGCATTTATGATCTTTCTGAAAGACACAGCTTTGCAAGCAAAAAAATCATAATGCGCTAGCAAAAACAGTTCAATGCTTAAATAAAGATGAGTGTGATATAACATAACAAGCATATTGCACTGTAAGGTTTCTATTTATAAAGAAATGTGTTTTAAAGCTACTAGACGTTGGTTTTCTAGCCCTTTTCTTTCTAAAGTTGGAAACAAATTGAACTTGAGTATAACGTTGATGCGAGCACGGACAACACCTAAAGGCCACACTATCAGTCTTTGAATTGTTGTTTAGGCTTCACTGACACGAGCTTACAGAGCAACTTCCACTGTTCATATACCTGTAATATGTCAACGGTTTGCATAGAGTTCAAAATGTCCTTCTTTGTGTTTTAATGTCTCCACAGTTCGTGCTGAATATAGATTGGTAAGTTTGTTTTTATACATTGTCTGTGGTATATATAGAAATATGTTTTTATGCGTATCTACATTTTTATGCTATCAATATCATCCTATTTGGAATTGAATTAAGACTACAATGTATACCATAGTGTTGTCGTAGACAGAAATCACTCAGAATGCTGTACTGTGTTGAATCGGAGTGTGAATGTATTAGATATAAGTCTTATCAACATAGTAAAAAGCTACTGGAAAATACTGAAGTTTATGTAAAAGACGTAGATCCTGATTTCTTCCGGTTTTATATAAAACTGACAGGTAAACATCACTTCTTATTGAATTATATTTCAAACTGGAGACATAGTCGGTATGTTACAGAGAGAGATCGATGTTCGCACTGCTCGCCTCGTGTCGTGGTTTACCTGTAGCGACAGCTGCTGGACCCGAGGCCACACCAAACACTACATGTGGTTGAATGCTAGTGGACACAACTTCTACGTCATAGCCCCTGTTTTACCAATACAACATACTGTAATAGTTACCTCAGTAGGGGCATGCCACCTGCCTGTGTTTATTAAGTTTTAATGTAATAGTTGAGTCGCTATTTTTCAGTTAATGCAATTCTAGGTTGTGTATTTTACACTTTGACATCATCAGATGTGTCATTACCCTTTTAGACAGAACCCAACATTTCGTATATACTGAATATGGCAGTATCTGACGTCGTACATACTGCTTGTGTGTGGGGATTCTTGTTATATATTAATACATATTGTGAATTGATCCAAAGGTACTCTAGTGTAAGATATAACATTAAGCAAGGATGCAGTTTGGTTTAGCCTACATTTACCTGTTGGGTTATGAATAACAGGAATATCAGCTGTATAGCAATCTTAATTCGTCAAATCAATGGGAAATGTTATACATGTTGCTGGATATCTAAGATGACTTAGAAAACCTGTCTAGTACTTTTAGAAGAGCAATTGGCAAGATCTACATCAACAGGTGAGTGAGGTTTGGTCCTAGCGTTAACGATCTGTAACTATGATAAAGATAGGGATGATTCATCCCACAGAACAAAACCAATCTTATGTGTTTTTACTTTCTTGGATTAAAGGGTACAATTACTTATTTTTGAAACTTTCAAACAGATAGACATTTCTAACGTGTATCAACGACTGAGTTGAAGAAACCCCTCTATCCATAGTACAGATTCCAATTAGCACTTATATAAACCTGCAACTGTTTTCTTTATAATCACATTTTACTAACTTTTTATGAATTATGTTAAACACTTTACTACATTTTACTAATGTTCGAGGTATGTGTGAACTGATTGGTGAATCAGATTGTGTAAAGAGACTTAAAAAGAGATGATACATTATTTCATTTAGGAACACATGATACATACATCCATTGTTGACACTTAGTCTTATTTACCTCCTACCTTTTCTGTCATCGCGATGAAAATCACTCCTTTGTTGAAAGTTTGACCGATTGTCATCTAGTTCGACTTCTGGCTGTGTTTACATTTTGGATCAGTTTGGTCATTTTTGTCCATATACATTTGTGATAGCAAAACTGTAACTATTTACAAACCCAGGAACTCAAAAGCCACTAAATGACATGCTCATTAATATTTTTCATTTTTTGAATACATGACTTGTTGTTTCTCATTTAGTCTTAATTAAAAGGTGCAAAGTTTAAGAGTTATATATAGATATAGTAGTATGAGTATAAATATATATATTACGAAGGAAAAACACTAAATTGACATCGTTTAAGACGCCTATTAAAGCTTAAGCAAATTCAATAATCTCTAAAATACAAAGTCAACTCCCGTTCCGTTGATGGTCAGTACAATCATCCAATCATGTAATCGATAATTAAAAAAAGACATAACCATCAATCAATTATGTCAAATGTAATCAATTAACAACATTATCATCAACATGTCATGTCATGTTATCAATTAGAAACATTATCATCAACATGTCATGTCACATGTAATCAATTAACAGCATTACCATCAACATGTCATGTCATGTTATCAAGTGGAAACTTTATCATCAACCAATCATGTCACATGTAATCAATTAACAGCATTACCATCAACATGTCATGTCATGTTATCAAGTAGAAACATTATCATCAACCAATCATGTCACATCTAATCAATTAACAGCATTACCATCAACATGTCATGTCATGTTATCAAGTAGAAACATTATCATCAACATGTCATTTCACATGTAATCAATTAGCAGCATTACCATCAACCAATCACGTAACGTGTAATTAATAAACAAAATAACCATCACCCAATCACGTAACATTAAGTCAAATAATAACATTACCCTCAACATGTTATGTAGCATTTAATCAACTAAAAATATAAAGGACAACCAATCACGTGTATTTAATGACCTGTGCACATACATGCACATGGACTTTTGGTCAAAGTCTCCTCTTACTGTGCATAGAGATTCAGAGATTTCAGAGACTTTTTATTATCACTCAGGCACACTATTGTTGCGCACCAAGAGGTCATCATAAAGTACAATATAACAATGATATGGTTGACCGTAAAGCACTCATCTTACTACGCTAGCGTACAATAATATAGTGGAAACTATTACACTCCTCATACAATGATAAACACAATCTTACACTGTACTTTCATACCTTATTATAACAAATAATATAACGCACAGCTCATACAATGACACTCATCATACATTGTGATTTACATTATTACACTCATTTTACAATACTATTACGATGGTATAATACATAGCATTACATTCACGCATACCGTGCGTTCACACAGTGGTATAGCAGGCATTGTTGCATCCATCTTACAGTACAATCCTACAATAATATTATTACAGTATTACAAATATATTACTCGCACTCCATGATACATATTTTATAGATAGTATACCACACCATACAGTGCAATTATACCATGGCATAATAGTGACTATAATACTCACCATACTATATAATATTACAAAGGTATAATAGACAGTGTTACAATCCCATCATACAATACTGTAATAGACAGATACCAAACAAACCATGATATGCAAGCTGTAACCACACTCATTATGCAATACAATTATGTAAGGTTTAACAAAATGATCAGTTATATCTATTTGTATACAAAAGTTTACAGTTTGATGTGTGGAATTCACATATTATTTTTTAATTGTCTATCTAGTAATTGTATGAACAGCGATAGATTTGATAATATTCTAACATTACATATTGATATTAATCCTTTCATTTTATGAACAGATGGATGAGAGGTATAATAAATAGGTATATATTTTCTGCGGATTTGACTTACATAAGCATTTGAACATATAAACAAATAATGATACTCGCTTCCACCTCCAGTAAAACAAAGCGGACAGATTCTGCCTTCACGTGGTGTTCTAGTCCATCGCCCAGTCTCTATAGGCAGAGACATATTACTGGTTCTGAACTTACAGATAGTTATTCTATCTTTTTGTTTGAGCATAGTTAAGTATTTTTCAAACTGAAATTGATGTTTAAATATTGCATATGTTTGACCCCTGGAAGAATGTTTAATATCAGTATACCATTGTTGTATAAATTGGTCATACAGAATAGTTTTAAAACTAACCCTAAGATAATTTTTATTCATAGTGCAAGTTTTTTGTTGTAACCATACGTAACTTAGTCCCGTGCAATTGAATAGATTCTTGATATATGAAATCCACTTTAAATCAGCGAAATCATTTTCATGTAAATTCAGCATAAGCTTGTACATTATACTAGACAATTTATTATCACCTGTAATTAGTTTATACCAAAACATTATCATTCTATATTTAATTTCAATATTCAGAGGGTACCTACAAGTTTCACCATATACCATTATATTTGCTGTGGAGCTACGTATGTTTACAATTCTTTTATAAAACTGTACATGTAATTTCTCAATCATATTGGTATTTTCAAACCCCCAAATTTCTGAGGAGTAAAAGAGGATTGGGGATATTAATACATCAAACAATTTTAATTGTAGGTCGATTGGTAAAATAATATTTCTTATTTTTTTTTATATAATGCATATATTGCCTTTTGAGCCTGTTCAACAAATCTGATATACTGACTGTGACTATGCTTCATTTAATGATAAAATAACTGTATGTGTGTTGGATGTATGATTGTGAGTTGTTTGTGCATTGTTATTGTGATGTCCTATGAGTTCATCCCCGTTGTGTTTATCATTTGGAGTTATCTCCCCTGATCCTTTAATTAGTATTACTCTTTGGACATATTTATAATTTTTCATTTCAAAGTATCCTTTAATTAATTAATCATTACATGTTTAGTAAACTTTTGGATACTTTAAACAGAACGAATTTTACTGAGAACATATTCAACTAAAATGGTATGTTATGTTAATGCGACTGCTATTGTTAGATGTCGTTAAATTTAACTAAATGTTAAAACGAGCTAAAAACAAACAACAAGGTTAGGATGAACGACAACTTATTCACATATTTTTGCATATTTAATCTTAAGACCACATTTAATCACAGTATTCTACAGTTATCATATGGTTTTCGCGTGCCGCACTATATCTACGACATATTATATGTATGAAGATGATTTTAAACGAACGCCCAGTACATAGTTTTTCAAACTTAATCAGTTCTAAAAAAGGAAAAGAAAATTTGAAAATAGTATGCGAAATTAAAAATCTATTGCATCCTTAACAATTGAAAACTAAAAGTATGGGAAAAAACCCAGAGTAGTATCGACAAATCATGACTTTGTGTGAACTGGGTAATTATGTTTTATTCCTTATGACGTTACAATGGGTGTTCTTACCCATGTTACACAATGTAATTGTGTCATTGCACTACACAACAGCCCGTGTATACGATACATTGCACATGTAACTTAATATCGATATACTACATACGTACATTGTATATGATACATTGTACATGTTACTTAATATCGATATACTACATACGTATATTGTATATGATACATTGTACAGGTTACTTAATATCGATATACTACATACGTACATTGTATATGATACAGTGTACATGTTACTTAATATCGATATACTACATACGTACATTGTATATGATACATTGTACATGTTACTTAATATCGATATACTACATACGTACATTGTATATGATACATTGTACATGTTACTTAATATCGATATACTACATACGTACATTGTATATGATACATTGTACATGTTACTTAATATCGATATACTACATACGTACATTGTATATGATACATTGTACATGTTACTTAATATCGATATACTACATACGTACATTGTATATGATACATTGTACATGTTACTTAATATCGATATACTACATACGTACATTGTATATGATACATTGTACATGTTACTTAATATCGATATACTACATACGTACATTGTATATGATACATTGTACATGTTACTTAATATCGATATACTACATACGTACATTGTATATGATACATTGTACATGTTACTTAATATCGATATACTACATACGTACATTGTATATGATACATTGTACATGTTACTTAATATCGATATACTACATACGTACATTGTATATGATACATTGTACATGTTACTTAATATCGATATACTACATACGTACATTGTATATGATACATTGTACATGTTACTTAATATCGATATACTACATACGTACATTGTATATGATACATTGTACATGTTACTTAATATCGATATACTACATACGTACATTGTATATGATACATTGTACATGTTACTTAATATCGATATACTACATACGTACATTGTATATGATACATTGTACATGTTACTTAATATCGATATACTACATACGTACATTGTATATGATACATTGTACATGTTACTTAATATCGATATACTACATACGTACATTGTATATGATACATTGTACATGTTACTTAATATCGATATACTACATACGTACATTGTATATGATACATTGTACATGTTACTTAATATCGATATACTACATACGTACATTGTATATGATACATTGTACATGTTACTTAATATCGATATACTACATACGTACATTGTATATGATACATTGTACATGTTACTTAATATCGATATACTACATACGTACATTGTATATGATACATTGTACATGTTACTTAATATCGATATACTACATACGTACATTGTATATGATACAGTGTACATGTTACTTAATATCGATATACTACATACGTACATTGTATATGATACATTGTAAATGTTACTTAATATCGATATACAACATTCGGTCATTGTATAAGATACAGTGTACATGTTACTTAATATCGATATACTACATACGTACATTGTATATGATACATTGTAAATGTTACTTAATATCGATATACAACATTCGGTCATTGTATAAGATACATTGTACAGGTTACTTGATATCGATATACTACATACGTATATTGTATATGCATCAATGAATACAACACATTATCAATACTGTAAACTGCCACACCTGATAATGTACTGCCAATCGGAGCAACTATTCGTTAAAAAAAAAAAAAACTGATGTTTTCTTTCAGGCCGAGCATAGATATCGATGAATAACACAACAGATATGGATCCGGAAAAGGCCTTCTGGGTCGAACCGTGAGTTTTTACAACATAACACAGATATTTCAATAAACTCATACTGATGCATTAGAAGACATCAGTGTAACAAAATTACGGGATAGAGTCGCCATATGGACGTTTTCTCTTCTTGCTGCATGTCATCTAGTTCCTATAAATGCGTGAATCGAAATCTAGATTTGGATATATCCATTTTGGCAATTCAACCACCTTGGACTGATAAAACACAAAGATTTTGAAATATAAATTTGACACCTCCTACTTCAGACCAGGTTTCTCGGTTGCTTGAAATTTTAAGGAAATACAAGATATTAACAGCTATTAAAAATGATAGAAACGTTTAGCTCCAAATCTCTTCCGTTAATTGATAATATCGATTTATATTTTTATTTTGGACATTCGATGCTCATTGATTTTTTGCTAATTTTATCAAAGCAGCATGCGCATTAATTAAAATATTTAGTTTGTTTATTGTTGTACAACTGTTTATTTTCATTATTGTTTCAATATTGTGAAGGGTTTGATCAGGCAAAGGGTGTCTACATCACCCATACAGCTTTCGCAAGACACCGATGTAATACAAATTTCTGTCGCATTCCACAAAAAAAAAACAAACAAAAGTATTGAAATATTATGGTATAAAATTATTGTGATAAATTATTCTTTTTCTGGTTTCAGATGGGACAACAGTCTGCAAAACTCCTTCGTGGCCATTATAGGTCTGGCCATGTTCCTGGTCTTAGTCGCGTTCCTGTGGAAATGCTGTGACTGGGTCGAGGAGAAACCGAACCCAAACATTCCCAAACAAAGCTTCCCATTGACGCCAGTTTATGCACATGAGCTGGAACCAGGGCTTGTTGTCCTTCAGAGTCAGGACGGGGAATTCTTTAGAATACTCCAGGAATATGACGCCAATAAAACGTGTAATGGGCGTACCAATCCCGCTGCTGCATGCGCAGATCCCCCAATAGGGGAGACAACTATTCAATATATCCCTCAATACACGCGACCATTTTACCAAAACCAACCAACAGCGCCCCCTGCTCGACCGGATACAGATCGTTTGATTGACGCACCAATTCCTTCCACGCCTCCTGTTCCTCCCCCATATTCCCAGTACTAGTTACAAATTGAGAGTAAGTGACATTCGTTCGATAATGAACAATTATCAATATGAAACCTTGTTACGTAAAATTGAACACATATGGCAAATAAAATACAGGATTGATAACACTTCCCAAAATATTTTATTTGGGAGCACATATCAACCACAGTCTACATTGTAAACTAGACATCGTCTGTCATTTTCACAAGTACAATGTATCATTTCCATGATTTGTTCGTTAAATAACTACTATTTAACCTCAATAATCTAGCCACAGTCTTTCTCAACAAAAGTAACGAGAATTGGAAAAGAATTCAATCGATCGCTTAAAACAGCAGCTGGACAGTGGGCCATCGGATACAGAGTTGCTGGATAACGGTGAGTGGAGGACGGGTCGACTGGATAACGGTGACTGGATAACGGGTCGACTGGATAACGGTGACTGGATTGCGAGACGGCCGGATTAGTGACTCTTACTTATATATCATATATGTCCACTACTCAATGGCACTCAAATACTTCCATGATTTGCTGCATTCATCATACATTTAATTGTTCGATAGTTTTATTAAAGTTATGACCATTGATATTGAAATTAGTCTTTTAATCATTTATGTTTATGACAACAAGTATAGCCTACCTATTGCTTATACATGTTCGAAATGACGAACCAACCCGACGATTTGATCCGGCTACGCGTTGTTTAATACCTAGACATATATATACGAGAGTTTATGAATACTATACAAATAGAGAGTTATAGTTTTATAAAATATCTTTATAATAATTAAACAGATCATGTCTTGAAAATGCGAAAGTTACGTTTTTCTCTCACCTCGGAATGATCAGGTAAGGTGAATATAATCGTCAAAACAGATATTTAAAATAGTATACATATGTATAAACTTTAAGTTTTTATTGTTCGTATAAACTGGGTTATTAAAACATGGTCGCTAAAGGGAGACTCATTTACGAGAGGAAGACTTGAAGTATTGTCTCCTGGTCATGTGATGTTTATCAATCAGTCAAGGCTACTGAAACATAAATACAGTTTATTGTTACGTTATCGACCAATACACTGTACATGGAAACAATCGGATACATTTACAAAATAGCACAGGTATCGACATAGGACAACCACACAATAGCAATGATTATAAGGACTTCTAACAACCGTCATTTGATTGTTATGCAAACTACTCAAGGTATTTGAGATCCTCTAAGAGGTTCCGAAGGAAATAATAAATAGGTCATTGTAAACATAGTTGCTCGAGGGGGACTCAATTGCGTGAGAGAGACGCCATGTTTTGTCTCCTAGTCAGGTAATGTGTTTAAATCAATCAAACTTACTGTAAGATAAATCAGGTTGAGTAACACGTTATCGCCAATACACTGTACATATACATACTGGCATACATTTACAAAATGTCACAGGTGTTGTTCTACCTCTCTCCATGGAACATGTCATTATGGTGTAGTAAAATAGGGGACACCAGGGATAAGGCATGTTTTGATTATAAGGATATCTAATGATTTAATGCTAACTTTATGGCAAGTGCATTAAAGTGTCTGTCCCCTGTGCCGAACAAAACAATATTGACAAATTGAACATATGTTGCTGCTTCAGTTTCCATAAGTAAGCGACAAGCATTTTTATGATATTGCACTAAAAATTAAAAACTAATAGAACTGAGTTGTTTTGAGCATTGAGCTGCCCTCAGTTTGTATTCGTATTGCCTAGGAATGCCTTATTTACCCCTTTTGATATACAATGTATGTTGATATCATAGAAAATTCCGTTACACTTATATAATGTTCTGTTATTCAGCATTTGGTTCAACCATTATATTGAGAAAACGACGTAATTTTCTCACACAAACCAATGACGTAACAATCAATACCTGCTCACAAGAAAAGATAACTCTGCAATACGCAAAGACGGATAACTTGCTTGATCAATAGAATAAAAACATCTGTCAAGGGCAAATCGGTGGTATCCAACGTAGCAATTATGACGTCATTATAATGACGACGTCAACAATCGGCTGTTGGTATTCATAGCCTACATAAATATCATCTGAATGTGGTGGGATTATATAGTGGCAATACCATACGATGGTAAATATATTATAATTAAGCTGTAATTTGTTTTTGTTTATCATACATTTCAGAAAACATGACAGTTGTGTGTTTAAACACCTTTCATACAATATTAACATGTGAATTGACATTAACAACAGAGATGAACCTTAGCAATACGTGAATTAAATGTTGGTACATCGACTTCTATCAGGTGTTATATATGTTTATATTTATTATGTGTACAAAGCTCGAATCAGGTAGTCTACTCCGCTTGGGAATAAATTATACAGAAATAATGGCAGGTAAGTATTTAAGAAGGGTGTGTAGAGCTCCCTCTGGCGGTTAGCTCCTCCCCTGATGATGGCGAGGGCAGTGTCGGATGGACTCGCTGCCGATCCTATGATGCGCTTTAGTATCACTGCATTCCGAAGCACAGCAAACGACGCCACAGCGTTGTCTGTTGCTGAAAAAATGCACAAGCATCACATTGTTTTAAACGTGATATCTCTATCTTCTACACAACGTTTCTGGTAATGTGATGTTTTGTACATTGGGAAAAGGTTAACTATAGCAAGATAAACACAGTGGTACTTATATGATCTCCGACATATTAACAGACTATCGTTTGACATATTAATACGTTAACAGTGACAAGAATACGGCAAATAAAAACGTGTTAGATGATGTAAATAACGCATGATCAGAGCCGTATAAACAATGGCAGTCTTAACGTATGATCATCATGACGACACATATCAATGTTTCCGTTAATTAAATAATAAAGTGACGTACGGTTCTATGTCGTTAATGATATGACGACCGAAGCTTCTCATGACGTTTATAAAACAATGGCATTTGTTGCTTTCGATGATTATTATAAATTAACTGACTCTATAAAAGATGTTAAGTAAAAAGTGACAGACGTTACGTGTTTTGTTTGTGATATGCATTAAATATAACATTTGTTAAAGGACAATATAGTTTTGTGTTAAAAAAGGCCAAATGCGTTACTACGACGTTGATTAGAGTGGGTATCATTTATGACACTGAAGAGTGACGGAAGTACCTATGAATCCCAGGAAACACATGGTGATTGAAATATTGCTGTCTTTCATCCTTAGTTCCTGTCGAAGTCCACTAAAGAATCCGCCCAGTGCGTATTTGGTAGCGGCGTAAGGGAGAACGAAGGGTTGGGCCGATTTGCCTGGAAAAGTACGAACGCATCAATCAATCCAGCTGTGTCTGATAAACATACATGTACAATGTACCTGTTCTCGGATAGTTATGCTATATTATTATACCTCTAGTGAAAATCCTGTAATCTGTTTGGTCGAGATAAGTTGTTCATGTCACACAGCACGCTGACTTTAACATTGATTAAATGGAAGGGTGCTTCCCAATGTCTTAACAACGGGCGACAGTGTGGTGTGACAGTGCAAAATAGTGACCGAAGATGCGCGTACTGTTCGTTTTAAGCCGCCATTTGTTTGCGTTGCGATTCATCGCACATGTCGGTCCATAGGCACTCCATGTCGTACCGTGTATTACTCGCCATTGATTAATACTACGATGTAACGCTTAGATGAGTGAGATTTCCAAGCCCTTCAATCGGCCGTCTGCTACGTGAAGTGAAAAATGGCAAGATTTGCATATAATATGGGTTGGGTGATTTGGATAGATTTCTTTTACGGATAATAATTCTAAAAGCACGCAGCCGGTACCGTCAAGCGAACATGTATACAAAACAGTTGTGATTGGAATGAAAATTAAGGTTTCCGGGCAGTGAAACACAATCACTGATGATGACATGGAGAAACTGTTCGGTAACCCGATCGTCATTCTCAATAATTCAATTGTTATAACGGCCATGATATTTCGCAGTGTAAAAATCGATAACTTTATTGTTAAAACTTGAAAAGTTCACTGTTAAATTTGTTGATGAAAATACAATTAACATGTATTTGTTACTTTGAAAACTTTGTTAATTAAGGACTTTCGGTAAAATACAATAAATCCTGCACTCATTGCCTCGGGTGACAATGATATCCCCGGGATGACCGTAGGCACTGTAACACTGTAATGAGTGTAGTATTCAAATATTGATCTAATTTGCTGTACTTACCTGCAAATGATGACAGAACCACTATATGACCGGAGCTTTTCTCCAGGTCAGGGAGCGCGTGCGTTGCGAGATGTACATACGCTTTGAAGTTCAATTCAAACACCTTGTCTAAGTAGGCCATATCTGCGTCGTCACCGCTCCAGAAATGGAGATGTTGTGGAAGCATATGGTTCAGCACTAGATAGTCTAGACCTCCCATCCTCTGTGGGGACTCCTACAGAACAAGTTATACAAAATACATAGATCAGGTTCAGCACTAGATAGTCTAGATCTCCCATCCCCTGTCTGGACTCCTACAGAACAAGTTATACAAAATACATAGATCAGGTTCAGCACTAGATAGTCTAGACCTCCTACACCCTGTGTGGACTCCTACAGAACAAGTAATACACAATACACAGATCAGGTTCAGCGCTAGATAGTCTAGACCTCCCATCCCCTGTGAGAACTCATACAGAACAAGTTATACAAAATACACAGACCGGATTCAGCACTAGATAGTCTAGACCTCCCATCCTCCGTGTGGACTCCTACAGAACAAGTTATACACAATACACAGATCAGGTTCAGCACGAACAAGTTATACAAAATACACAGATCAGGTTCAGCACTTGATAGTCTAGACCTCCCATCCCCTGTGTGGACTCCAACAGAACAAGTTATACAAAATACACAGACCGGATTCAGCACTAGATAGTCTAGACCTCCCATCCCCTGTGAGAACTCATACAGAACAAGTTATACAAAATACACAGATAAGGTTCAGCACTAGATAGTCTAGACCTCCTACACCCTGTGTGGACTCCTACAGAACAAGTTATACAACATACACATATCAGGTTCAGCACTAGATAGTCTAGACGTCCCATCCCCTGTGTGGACTCCTACAGAACAAGTTATACACAATACACAGATCAGGTTCAGCACTAGATAGTCTAGATCTCCCATCCCCTGTGTGGACTCCTACAGAACAAGTTATACAAAATACACATATCAGGTTCAGCACTAGATAGTCTAGACCTCCCATAGATGTTGTGGAAGCATATGGTTCAGCACTAGATAGTCTAGACCTCCCATTCTCTGTGTGGACTCCTACAGAACAATCTATACAAAATACACAGATCAGGTTCAGCACTTGATAGTCTAGACCTCCCATCCCCTGTGTGGACACATACAGAACAAGTTATACAAAATACACAGATCCGGTTCAGCACTATATAGTCTAGACCTCCTACTCCCTGTGTGGACTCCTACAGAACAAGTAATACACAATACACAGATCAGGTTCAGCGCTAGATAGTCTAGACCTCCCATCCCCTGTGAGAACTCATACAGAACAAGTTATACAAAATACACAGACCGGATTCAGCACTAGATAGTCTAGA